GTATTACAATAGTAGGGTCGTGGGTTCGAACCCTATATATTAATGACTTATGAAAGTAAGGTCTATGATACAAAAGCAATACTATAGAAGGTTTCTATGATTAATATGCATTACAATAGTAGGGTTGTGGGTTCGAACCCTATATATGAATGACTTGTGAAAGTAAGGTCTATGATACAAAAGCATTATTATTGAAGGTCTCCTTGATGCATAAGCATTGTATGGGGTGGTTGGGTGACCGACTGCTCCTAGTACTGTAGCAAAATGACTAGTCCTTATTAGGGACTTGAAAAGGAATATTATGGTGGCGTGTGTGCTGCTTCACGAGCAATTGGTCCGAGGTAAACTTGGACTCGCTAACCGATGTGTCCTAGACATATCATCTTAGTGCCGGTGGTAAGCGGGTTTGTTGTAGCAATACGGCTTTCCCGTGGACATCGCACACCCATACCGGTTGTGGGCGGCGTCGTAGCGCATAGCGATGCGTCGTCTATCTTTCGGATTGGGAAGATGAGTGTGTTTGGTAGCACTTTTAAGTGTAACAGGCATACTCAACTTCATGTCTTAGTGCATTAGCGCTATGATACATGGAGTTTTGTTCATTAGCGTCTTAGTAGCGTGCTACTATGATACGTTGGTGATATTTTTTATATAACAACAATACCAACTTTGTTACCAAAGTCGATAAGGGTCATGTGGGTGTGTTGTGAGGGGGCGCCACCCGTATGATAGTTGCTTTGATGCTTACTGCTACTTGCGGTATTGCGTCTTGTGATGGATCTGCGGGTGTGCTGCGCCTGATTCGACGCTCTCTTGTGGTTCTGGTCGATGGAGGTATGCGGGTGGTGATGTCTGCTGGGATGTATGGGGGACCTTGGGATGGTGTAAGCCCGACGATAGTCGTATTGATGCTTGTTGCGTTCTGCAGCGTTGCGTCTTTGCGATGGTTGTTTAGTGGGACGCTATTCTCAATGGCGCTCTCTGCGTCTTGGTTTGACTCACGCCTGAGTAGCTTTGCCCAAGTCGGGTCCCTTCATTACGGGACTGCAGACTGTCTGCCCTCCACAATGTTTTATTTAACAACATAATATTATATCTCTGTAACTTTCCCACCTTTGAATGATTGAAGGCAACTTGTTGGTGGGTGAGACAAACATGATCGAAAATGCATTTACTCAACGTCAGTGACACAAACCCTTTCTGATGGCGAATTATTACTCTTATCTTATAACTGCCTTTTGGCTACATCTGCCGTTGTATTGGTTGGTGGAGCATATGTGTCGACCTCATACGGGTGGTAGCTGGCGGGAGGATCTGAGGAGACTCTCAAGACTGCGTCCGAAAGCCGTACAACGTGGGACCCCATTCCCTTGAGGTGAGCGGTAGACTCATGACACGCTCTGCGGCTAGTAGCCGTGCTGATCATGCAATTGGTGGTGATGCCATACACTTACATCACGTCTGTAGGAGCGGCGGTCTGGCAGGTGGTGGCGCTCACGGAGGGTTTACGGCCAGTGTGCCTATTTGCCTAAACCGTGTGACGTACATTCACTGTGGCTGGATTCGTTCGTATTCTGTTTGGCGTTTACACGCATTGACATGCGCGACTTCGGTCGATGTTTGTACTTACGCACTAACAAGGGGCCAAGCCTCTTTTACTGGTTCGCCAGTTATTTTGCTGTGGACTACGGTCCAGTTCCCGAATTAGCTTTCCCTTCGGGGGGAAGTGCATCAAAATGGTTGGCGCTCACCGTGCACGGCGTGTGTGGGGCCGTGTACCTCCCCTACATTTTTTTTTAAATAAATGTAGGAGAGCGAAGCCCTTGTATCGGGTATTTTTGTATAAATATATTGTGAGCCTTTTCCAAGCGGGAAGGGATAAATAATAATAAATTAATAATGTCAACCGGATACAAGTGGAATAAAGACGTTTTACGTTTTTAACCTTTCTCGAGCCCTGTCTTCGTGAACGGGGTTCACTTAACTTATAAGGCACTACCAACAGCTTTCAATTGCTCTAGCGAATATTCATTCTTCCAAAAGACACCTAAAAGAACTAAGTTACTAAGCAAACACAACGTAAATAAGGGTCCTAACTAAGACGATCACGCCAAAAATATTACAAACGGCCTATTATTAAACCTTTAGAAAGATCATTTAGAAAGACCAAAACATATTTTATTAATCTTGGTCACAAATATATATAATTATTATGAGAGGGGGGGAAGCGTTACAACAACATCCAATCAAATAGAAACTAACTTTTCATCATGTGAATGGTAACTCAAAGTTTTAAAATGAAATAAGATTTGCTTACCTCAGAATCTGAAAAAAAGGTTTAATTTACGTTTCGCACCTTTAATAATAAACCGAAATAATTCAAAAACCACAATTGTTGGGAAATCGTTTTCAAAGTTTGGCCAGTAAGACTCCCTACGTATTTTTATAAATAAAAATAAATTCAGGTACTATACAGAAATGCTTGTAACGTTTTTAAATTCTCTATAAATTAGTCTTCCAAATGATATTATTTAATCGTAACATATGTTTTTTAAATTTGAAAAAAAAACATAGCTTTAAATATAGTGAGTGACTTAATTCATTTTATGATTAAAATTAAAATTGATATCTAATATTTTATATGATACAAAATATATTCGTGCATTTTATTATTAACATATACCTATGTTTATAATTTGTTGTATTAAGATATAATGCTCTTTGCATAAATTAAGAAGGTAACCGTTTAGTCCTATTTCTTAAAACGACTTTATGAAATTAAAGGAAGGCGGCTTTTTCAAAGAAAATTCATTTTATTATTACGCATTACACTTTAATTAACGATGAGATTTGGTATAAATCTAGAAGAACGCCATTATAGTTTCATCTTATTTAAATCTTAAAATTATACTTAAGAATACAAGGAACTTTACTTCGTGAAAACTATAAATTAGCACAAAAATTAGTATAATATCTAGATCGACTTTTATTATATTAATATCTATACCAAAAATAATTTTAGATAAAAAAATATTTGAAAAAATATATAACATAATAAACCAAAGTTCAGAAGTCTATAGGTAACTCTCTACAACACACAATGATTATTATTGCTTATTTTTGGTAAAAATGATCCATTCTGAAAATAATATATCTAGTAAAAATGATAAAAAACAAAACAAAATATTACCACTTATTTATACTCATTGGTGAACAGGATTAATCCTACAAAGTAGTGGACAAAATAGTTAAAGTAAGCTTTATAGTAAAAAGAGAACTTTTACAATAACGTGTTATAGAAATTTGCATAGTAAGATGGAATTAGCCCCTTTGTGAGAAGTTCTTTCAAGTCCTTTTTCTTATTGGCACTTAATGACTGCTTTTCGGTATATGCTTGTGTTAGTTGAACTTCATTTTCGTGCTTCATCTTTTTTCTTTTGTTTCGCACGTCCACCTCCTTGTATGATTGGTCCTCATATGAATTCTTATAGTAAAATTTAAAAGGATTACCCTTAAACATACTTAATTGTTTTATCTCATTCCAGTTCACTGTCTCTCCAGCAATATTGGTATGAAAATTATACCCCCAATCCTCTTGCAGGTCTTTAATATTTATAAATGAGTCGAATGTCATTTCGTAAACGTTTATAGGTGGGTTACTTTTTTTTTGCAGACTTGATCAATGCAATATATTGATCAGGGGTATAAATTGGACCTAACTTAAGGTTTTTTTTAATTTCCTTTTCAATTAGGCTATGCACGCTGTCTGCTTCATTCTGTGTGTGACCTCTGATAAGGAATTTATGAGTAATACTATAAATGTTTAATTTTTGTACAGCATACAAATACAATGTTGCTATAAATTTGTTTTTATTCTGACCGCAACAGTTATCAGGATAAAAAATAATATTCTTTTCTGCTGTCCCTTCTTCGCTACTGATTTTATTTAAATAATCCCACACACATGATCCGATTTCAATAGCCCCCCGTTTTTTCGTCCAAAAATAACAGTAAACGTTATTATAAGCATTTCTGTTATCCTTGTTGTTAAGTTCTGTCAGTGTTAGATTATAGCTATTTAATTTAGACTTATAATAAAAAGCCGACGTTTCTCCTCTGGGACATTGTAAAACGGCTTCTAAGTCGTAAACAACGACCTTGTTCACTGCATCTGCTTTAATTTTGTCATTTAATTTTTCCTTTCTACTAAGCTCCTTCTCTTTTAAATGTGTTTGATACTTATCTTCTATGAGCAATTTTTTGGCTACTGTTAGCGTTCTCATAACTGACACATAAATCGCACTGATCCTTTTTGGGGCAAAAGAAACTTAGATTAAAGGCTGTGTTAAAGATTTTGTAATAGGTTATGTAGTTACCGGCTTCTTTACCATTATCATTTTGTATCTTAACAAAATCTTTGTAAAGATCTTTAATTGTTTTACCACCTTCTAAGTATTCTCTATTGGTGTTTGACCTAACATAATGTGATTCCATCCGAGGAATAGATTCAATATGTTTTTAATGTCAACCAGCAATTCGGGATCTATCTTTTTATTGTGGCCATGTTTCCCACGCCTTTCCTCCATCAAAAATCCATTTTCGTTTGTATTTATCCTAATAGTATGTATCATGCGATCAGTTATATCTATCGTGCTTTTAAAAAATGTTTTACATACTCTTACCTTATTGCCATTGACAATAAAGAAAAAAGCCTTGTTAGGACGACGTGGATTTTCTGCGTTTGTGTATTTGTATTTTGGCTGAATATCAATCATACACGAATTTATAAATGATCTCTGTTGGCTTAGGTCTCCCAGTTTCCAAAAGTTATTAAAAATAACGTATCTTACTGAGTCATTAATTTTTTGACTACAATTCAGTCTACAATTTGAGCAAGGCAGCTTCAAACATCGAGCCGGGAAGATTTTTTGAGTCTTCGACATAGATTTGTAGGATTGACCCTTGTTTCGCTTTATCTTCATTCGGTTTTGTCTCCAGTTTTATGGACGTTTCCGCCTTTTGCGATCTGCTTTGACGTGCTGGTCTGTAGAATCAGTATCTGAGTTCGAACGCGATGGTAATAAATAATTCTTATTTATATGACCAGAAAAGTTAGTAAATTTGTCCTCAAAGTTGTAAGTTGGGTCCTTTATATCGTCATCTAAATCACTCTCATCAGTGTATCGAGGAGAAATAATAATTGGATCATCTCTAGTACACAATCTTCGCTCTCGTACGCTATTATCGTATACCTGAAAATAAAAATGTCTTAGAAATATAAGAACTAGGTTTAGAAATAAAACTATAAATGAAGAATATTACATGAAATGTTACATCATTCTTTGTTGTATAGTTAACAGTAACCTACAATTCAGGTACGGGTGTAGTTGTAATGGCTATGTCATTTTGTGGTTGGCTGTATATATAAGCTTGTTCGTTAGTTGTTTCTGAAGAAACTGAGCTATCGGAATCCAAAGACGATGAATAAGAGCTCGACAAAGAGGAATTTGAACTTGAGCATGATTGGTGCCGTAAGTTCTTGCTTACTTGTGGCTTATCTTCGTTAGAAGTACCTTCGCTATCGTAGTTTGGTACAAGATTAAGTTTTGTTTGACTGACTGATTGATACTGAGTGACATTTTCTACTTTTTGGGAACTGGCAGTTTCAGCAACTACATGCGCGACCTGAAATTTTGCGTTGTTAGGTAAATAGTACAATACTTAAGTTAAAAATGCAACATTGGTACATAGAAACTTACTTCTGTATCGCATGGGTTAATATTTTCTATATTCTCTTGACTTATTTTCTGAAACATTGGCTGAAATACAATAAACTTAATATAAATTTGATAAAATTATAACATTATTTTTAGGTTACAGTGTGAACTAATTTATGTCTGAAAGGAACTACAAAAAATATCATAAAAAATATGTACTTAATTGCGTCTGTGTGCAAATACATTTATGCGAAGCTTACTTGCGCCCCATTAAAAGAGTGGAAATACTAACTTCAAAAAGCGCATATTACTGTTAGGTTGGTAGCACTATATCTACTACCTAACATTCTCATGAACATAGTATTAACAATATTTAATCCAATTACTTACAATATCACAGGTATCTTGTTTTACGCATTCCGATAAGCTGGCGGATGTGTGGTCACTATGGGACTCCTTAGTTTTCAAAACCAAACCCAAAATTCTTCGTCTTCTATAACTTTTGAATACTAAATATCTGTTAATCACAAAGAGAAATAACATTAAATATGAAACAACATCTTACTGCTAAATAAACATTAAACCGGCACAAATCATATTCTCAAGTTTATTGTAAAAGAAAATTATTAATTCATAGAAATAACATTTAATATTTTCCTAAGCATCGAAAACTTTTAACAATAAAATGCAACAACTTCAAAAGGTCCTTACGAGTAATGATAATATTTTATCCTAAACTGAATTTAGTCTATTTATTGCACAATAAAATAGCAGTTTTTTTTAGTAAAAGGAAACAATAATAAATAAATCACTTTTAAAATAAAATTCTAGTATTGCAATTCATTACCTGTTAAAAATAAAACGAACTACTGGGTTTTACCACGCGTTTACAATCGTCTCACTTTTGTCACTGTTGGAGCAACACTAAATGGCGTCGCTTTATGAATATCATTGGCCCGCTGCACAAATCAAAAAGAGATGGAAAGTCTTCTATCTCGTTTGTAGTTTTTCGATTTTAACGGCTGTTAAAGTGTACATATTCTCTACGCGGAGTTAATGCGTTTTATAATTAACATCGAAAAGTCGTTTTTTTGAATTATTACGGTTTATTATTAAAGGTGCGGTTTCCTGCTGGTCGAAGCCGGGGTGAGTGATGTATCAGCCTTAGATTCCGACTCGCTTCCGAATAATTCAACTCGTTTCTTGGACTTAGGAACTGTTGTTTTAGTCCTTAATACATTAGCTGGTTTCTAAACCGCTTTCTTCATTTGCGAAGTCGACTGTACTTCAGCGTCTGACTCGAAGGGGTTGGTTAATACATAAAAACGTAATACAAATAAATCACTATACAAGAACACTCATATGAAAACTTATAAAGCGAAACATAATATAACTTTACCTAACATAATATAACAAATTAATTATTATTCTATTGTATTTAATGAATGATGAGACTAAGTGTTACGTACATACTTGCTGTCTTGATGATGATGTCGAAAACTTCCAAGTCTAGTAGACTGTGGAAAACATGATGCAACTAATGGGTAAACACCTCCCGATATCATATTTTATATACTAAGTTATAACGTTATCCCCACTTGGAAGTATTTTAATTTGAAATATTTTAAAATATAGAAATATTTCTTTTGGTAACTTTAGCATTGATCTGTATTAATGTTATTCGTAAGGAATGTTTTTGCTTATTAACATTAGAACTTTAAATGCTCGTATGTGAAAATCACTTTGTATAAATGTTGCAAACGATGTCGAATTAACATTAATTTGCTGATATAGCAGCGGTTCGTCACCTGGCGCCGGTCTGCCGACGTAACATGAGACGACAGTGTTTTACAGGTAAACGAGTATATTTCACAATACTATGGAATGGGTCAGCATGTAGCGGTCGATGTACTTATTAAATTTAGATTCATTATAAATATATCTTTGTTCAAAATTAATGCTTTTTGAAGAATAAAACTAACAATTTACAAATCTTAAACTGAATTTTATACTATTCGTAATATCTCTAGATAGAACATAGTCTGAAATAACACACAGGCGTTTGTTGTAAAAGCGTATATATTGCCTACCCATAAATTAATTACTAATACTATAAAGTTTAAAAACTGGTATTACAAGCTTATGTTGGTTCCTAGTGTTTAAAATGAACATATTTTTTCTTATGAAAGCTATTTATGTTTTATGTACATACATTACACTTTAATAAATTAATATATATATATATATATATATATATATATATATATATTATTGTATAATAAATATATATAATAATATTTTTTTACGTGGTAGAGCCATGCTGCAGTTATATTAGTAGTATAGTTGTAGCACGAATGGGTTGGCTCGACCGGGGAAGGACCACGCTCTCACAGAATACCAGTTTGAAATAGTAGCTTAGTGCTGTTGTGTTTCGTATGGTAAGTGTAGAGAACCGGAGAACCTTTTTACTGCAAACGAGGCATTTCATCTTAGTCCTCACAGGTGACAAAGCATCTCCATTTTGATTTGTAATCTGTATATGTAATCTGTAATAAAATGTAGATGTCTGTGGGGCCGCAGCAACCACTTACCATCAGGTGGGCTGTGTGCTTGTTTGTAACCCCATCCTATAAAAAAATTATGGTATGAAAGTAACTACATGCTTATCTTATTAAATAATAAATAAACATAAAAGTCTGTATGTTCGATGTTTTTTTTATGTTTCTTTGTTACTAAATCATAATAGAATGCCTGAACAGCTAACGCTCGCTAGTTACACATAGAAAAAAGAAGAAAAAAAGGCCTCCAACAGTATATACAAACGTTTTCATGTGTTCATGCACCCTAATTTTTATACAGCATGGGAATCGAACCACAGCCATCTGGTTTTCTAGCTTACTCGTAGTACAAACCGCTAGATGATTTGCGATCACCACCATTGGTTAAATAAATTGATTTATAGAAACTTGCAAGCATATAGGTACTAATTTGGTTAGACAAAAATTTGGAACCTATATTTGAGAGAATTATGTTCTTCAGTGGGCGCGTAGCGCGAAGCAAGAGTGAGTGAATGCTTTTGAATTAAAGCTGATGGTTAAGTTAATCTTCAGCATCTTTTTCAAGTTTTTAAATTATTAACACGATTGAAATAACGTTAGTTCATTAAAACCCATCAGCCAATACGGACAAATTAACAAACCTGTTATGAAATTTCTCAAACAAAAAGAATCACTTAAATTAGAATGTATGCACCAAAAAATGAGGTTAAACGTCATGGGAGCTTATTGCCAGATACGTAGTATTGTATGTGGTCCATCGAGTTGTGGAAAAACTAACTAGCTTATTGTTACATCAGAACGAACCACGTTTCCGCAACCTTTATGTATATTCAAAGTCTTTATACCAACCTAAATACTTATTTTTAGAAAAAGTAATGCAGGATGTGGAAGGTACATCTTATTACAAGTATAATCATAATAGTGAAATTTTGAGTCCACACGAAGCTTCGCCTAACTCAATTATAATATTTGACGATGTAGCTTGTGAAAATCAGAACAACATACGCGATTATTTCGCCATGGGTCGACATAAGAACATTGACTGTTTTTATATTAATAAAACGTATACAAAGATACCTAAGCAACTACTAAGAGATAACGCTAACCTGATCATATTGTTTAAACAAGATGACATAAATCTGAGACACGTTTATGACGAACATGTAGGGTCTGACATGACATGGTCTCAGTTCCGGGAAATGTGTTCAACTGTGTGGAGTAAACCTTTCAATTATGTTGTAATAAATAAAGACTGTGAACGAAATAAAAAACTCCAGGCTTAAAAGAGTTATTGTTTAAAAAGCTACCAAATTTAGATATTGTAACAGAGGAAGACTTACAAAATTATAAATTGTTACTTTTGGATACTACTCGTAATGCACACAAACGTAGTTATGATCGATCCAAACCGATTAACAGTAACAAAGGATTTAAATATATGCAAGTGATCAAACCATTGCTTAAGCACTCGAGAAATCATAAAAGTAGTGTAGAAAGTCTTCCAAAAGGAGAAGTTGATATTTTAAAAGAAGTTAAAAAGATACTGATTTGGTTTCCGATTCCGACGATCCAAACGAGTTAGTGGAACGATTAAAATTACTACTTGGATTATGGGCAGCTGGTAACACAGGGGTTTACAATGAAATTTATGCAATAATCGAAGTATTGCATGAATCTGGCATAATAAAAGACATTAAATATATTAAGCTGCCTACAGGAGCATTACGCAGTACCATTTCATTACAGAAGCCGATAAGAGAGCTATGAATATAGACAAGTTTGGTCATCATGTTCATAAGCGTTTACGACTATCTCAATGCTCTGATATTCTCAGCGACGCTGTAAGAACAGCTAGTAAGAACAGACGCAGGTGATTTTGATTTGAAATCAACAAGATTAAAAGGACTGAAAACTCCTGAAAAAGAAGATGAGGCTGTGAATAAAGAATACGTGGATAAATGTGTTCAAGAACTTAAAAATGGAATGAAAACAATTCACAATAATGTCAAAAAGTACCTTAGCAGTTTAGAAAAATTGACTACTGGCAATTTCAGGACATTGTATTACACTAAAAAAGGAAATCGACCTCATGATTGCATCAAAACCTACCCAAAATGAGTAAACAAGATATAGTCAATGAGCTTCACAAGCAGCAAGACGAAATTTTCTCGTCAACATACGATTATTAAAGGAATAGATGATTTATGGCAAACTGACCTGATTGATTTTCAAAAATATTCAACGTTTAATAAAGGATATAAATATGTTCTAGTAGTAATCGATGCTCTATCAAAATACATATGGGTTAGACCATTGAAATCGAACCATAAAAATTGTGTCAAAAATGCGATGCAAAGTTTATTATCTGAATCAAGACGAAAACCCAAAAATTTACAAACGGATCTTGGTACAGAGTTTTATAATGATTCTTTTAAGAATTTAATGAAAAATTATAATATAAATCATTATTCCGCGTACTCCGTTAAAAAGGCCTCCATTGTAGAACGAGTAATAAGAACTTTAAAAAATCGGCTTTAAAAAATATTCAGTCTATGCGGACGATATCAATGGTTCAAAAATAATTTAGATTTTGTTGTAAAGCATTGTTACATCGCATTACAAAATTCAAGCCTATCAACGTTAATGACTCAAATGCGATTTTAGTTATGTCAAACATCAAGAAGTCTCAAAAACCTAAGATACGTCAAGGACCAACGTTTGACGTCGGCGATTACGTTCCTATAAGCAAATACAAAGGAGATTTTTATAAAGGTTATACCCCTAATTGGTCTACAGAAATATTTCGTATCGTTAAAGTCAACCAAACCAATCCTCAAACCTATCAAATAGAAGACAAACACAATCAAAAAATTCTAGGCTCTTTTTACGGTTACGAACTACAAAAAACTAAATTTCCAGACCTTTATCTTACTGAAAAAGTCATTAAAAGAAAAGGAAATAAGCTTTTAAGTTGTAAAATGGTTAGGTTTGAGTGATGACGAAAATAGTTGGGTGGATAAAAGTGAATTAGTGGTGTAGGTATATAAATAACGTATTATTACTTAATAATCTCATTTTATACTTATCGATGAAGGAAGGCAGTGGTATAATTAATAAAGTAATAGACAATTTACCGTTTGAGTTACATTTACCTGGCTATCAATTTTGCGGTCCCGGAACGAAACTTCAAAAACGGTTACTCAAAGGAGATCGTGGGATAAACAAATTGGATGAAGCGTGCATGCTCCACAATATTGCTTACACTAACAAAGATTCGGGCGCTCGACAAAAAGTGTATTTAGAACTTTTGAAAATGGCTAAGAGGAGGTTGAAATCAGAAGATGCTAGGAAAGGAGAAAAAATTGCCTCATGGATAGTCAAAAATGCGATGAAAGCGAAAATCCGGGCGGGGAGCGGTATAAAAGCATTTAAGAAGGGGATAAAAAAATACAGTCTCAGTTGAAAAAACTAAAATCCAAAGACAGTCACTCGGCTATAAAATATGCCTATGCAGCTGCTAAGAAAATATTTAGTAATAAAAAAGGAATAAGTTTACCCCGTTGTATTCCTCTTCCAAAGTGTGGAGGTCTTTTACCCCTTATTCCCATATTTGCAGGATTGTCAGCTTTAGGATCATTAGCTGGTGGAGCAGCGGGTATAGCAAAAGCTGTTAATGATTCAAAAGCAGCACAAAAGAGTCTTCAGGAATCTGAAAGACACAACAGAATGATGGAAGCCGTTGCTCTAGGAAAAGGATTATACATTAAACCTCATAAACAAGGAGCAGGTTTATATCTTAACCCCTCAAAAAACTAATTAGACGGCTACCCAGACGGGCGCTCACTAACCTCGACATATTAGAACATGCAAGTGACATTCCACACTTTCGCGGCGTTTTCATGAGAAATAAATTACCTTTGAAACCGAGAAAGACAGAATGTGGAATATTGAATTTGGATAGCTACAGAAATCCTGGAACGCATTGGGTAGCCTTTGTAAAGCACAATAAATACGTAGAATATTATGATAGTTTTGGTAATTTAAAGCCCCCGCTAGAATTAGTTCAATATATGCATAACTTACCTATTAACTATAATTACGCGCGACATCAAGCGTTTGGTGCTACAAACTGTGGACATCTTTGTCTAAAATTTTTAGGGAATTACTGGAAAAAGCATTTATATAGCGTATGAAGTAAATAAACGTATCAGTATAAAAATGTCTTTCACTGTGTCTATAACTGGGACAGGAGCCTCTTTATCAACGAACTATTCACCGACAATAGAACTACGAGGAGACTACGAATGTGGCCTTTTGTATTTTTCAACTTTCAATTCTATTCCCAATATAGATGAAAGAAACAATAAATTTTATTATGGTGAAAAAGAAATGATCGAAATTCCTGAAGGGTCTTACGAGCTTCAAGATATTTGTGATTATCTAAAAAATAATATTAAGAACACTGTACTAAAAGTAACTTGTAACAATAATACATTGAAAACAAATATTTTTTGCTCTGAAGATGTGCACTTTAATAGAAGCGAATCACTGGGTAAAATTTTAGGCTTTGGTATGGAAACAATAAAAGCAAATATAAATACTGAATCAAAGTATCCTGTCAGCATTCTATTTACAACTATCGTGCGGATTGAATGCGATGTAGGTAGTGGTTCATTTATCAACGGGAAAGCAAGCCATATAATTTATGAATTTGCACCTAATGTACCACCTGGCTATCAAATAATTGAAATACCTAGAAACTTGATTTATTTTCCTGTTAACCAAAGTTCCATAAGTGCTATCAATATAAAGTTATTGAACGCTGAGAATAAAGAGATAAATTTACGAGGTGAAGAAGTACAACTGTATTTACATTTCCAAAAAAAAAATGATAAATTTCTATAAAAGCCCGTCTACTTCGTGTATCCAAGCCAGTTTTAAAAGAACATCTCATAAAGGCACACCTCTTCAGCTAAAAAAGAAGCTTACCAAGTCTAACAAAGAATTTCTTAAGCTAGTTGGCTTGATAAAATGAATATTTTAAACGTATCTCAACAAACATCATACGATAACAGCATTGAAAGTTTTGAGTATCATTCATACAAACCATATGTAACTAGTTTTAACAAGAATGACGAAATACGTATTCCTATTAATCAGCAAGACCTGTACGTACTACCTTCACTCAGTAGTTTATATATCGAGGGAAAGGTGAACGTTTACAACAGCACCACATAAGAAAAGGTATCAAACGTACATTTTGTCAATAATCCTATGCTATTTCTTTTTCAAGACATACGATATGAACTTAATGGAATAGAAATAGATAAAATTAAGAATGCTGGTGTCACTTCTACAATAAAATCTTACCTATCCTTAAATGAAAATGAATCCAAATGTGCTCGAGTTTGGGGCTGGTCAACTGGCGGAACAAGCAATACTAGCGGTGGAGCGTTTTCCGCGTCTATACCATTGAACAAGATATTAAGATTTGCAGAAGATTATGAAAAAATTATAATTAATTGTAAACATAAGTTAGTATTATTACGAAGCAATACAAATCTTAATGCGATCAAGTTAAATACAGGTGAAGTTGTAGAAGATATTATAATAAATAAACTGTTTGGCGAGTTCCACACATCAAACTATCAGATCGTAAAAGAATCAGCCTATTAAAACATTTAGAGAAAGATAGAGTTATTCCATTGGCAAACCGTTCCTGGGACTTATATGAGTATCCATTGCTACCCAAAACACGTAAACATACTTGGTCTATAAAAACTTCATCGCAAATAGAGAAACCACGATTTGTGGTCATTGCCTTACAAACCAACCGCAAACATAACGCGAAATTATCAATGGCAGAGTTTGATCATTGTCACGTACGAGATGTAAGAGTCTTTTTAAATTCATCATATTATTCTTATGAGGGGCTGAATGTCAGTTTTTCAGAAGATAAGTTTACTTTATTATACGATCAGTATGCGAGATTTCAACAGTCGTATCATGGACGCCAGTCACAGCCGTTGATGGGTTTAAAGGAGTTCAGAGACGTGGCTCCATTATTTGTAATTGATGTCAAGACAACATGAAACTTTAAAAGGTTCGATCGATGTGAGAGTTGAAATCGAAACAGACCAAGAAATACCAGATCAGACAACCGCTTATTGCTTGATATTAAACGACTGTATATTCGAATACAAACCACTGAGTAATATCGTTAAGAAAATATCATGAATAGCAATACAATATTCGTCGATCTTCAAGGCTTCAAAAATAGCAAAAATGAATTTATAGTAAAGGAGTTTGCTATAGCCACTTTAGAGTACACCAATATATTCCTAATTAAACCTCCTTATCCATTCACTTCACTATCTCTTGAAGAGAAAAAACAAATTGGCTGGATTGAAAAGCACAGAGGGTATCGATGGAGTGAGGGCTTTGTTGATTATAGAGAGTTTCACAGAATTATAAAGACATATTTGAAAGATAAAAAGATTTTTTAAAAGGATGTGAAAAAATTAAATGGGTGCAAGATATTTGTGATGAAAATAATACTATCGTAGATATAAGTTGCTTAGGAGCTCCCAATTTAAATACTCTTTGTGAACTTGTAAAGATACTTTACTGTATAACTGTTTTACTCATAAGAAGATATGTGCTTAAAAATGTTTTATGTTTAAGAAATGGTGTTTTGAAAACAAAATGATTGTTTGATTTCCAATAAAATATATGTAAATAAACACTTCATCTTTTAATTTAGACTACCTTTGTGTTCGAGAAGAAGAATACATATAGTTTCAGACCGCTAACGATTAGTACTTTTTATTAAAGTAACTGTTTTTTGTACTACCTTGCATTTTTAACGCTGAAACAGATTAACCTTCGTATTTTGTTGTTATATTATTGAACAATTTGTATTTGAGATTCCGAATGAAACGGTATTAGAAATGGAGCAAAACATAAAAAAGCAGTTCGAGAATTAGATTTAAAAATTTAGACCTCTAATGGAGAGAATTGGGGCCTTCAGCGGCATGTAGCTCGAGCGAAGCGGGAGTAAGTGACGCAGAAGCCCCAATTCTCACCTACTCACATCATGTATTACCTTGATCAGTTTATACTGATATTGATTTTATTTATATAACAGGTATGTAAATGAAATCATAGACAAGATAAATAGTATTTATATCATTTATAACTGAGTTCGGAAAACAAGAAGCTTAAAAGCATATTCAAAACTTTTTATGTGGTAGAACCACGCTGCAGCTATGCATTTCATCTTAGCTCTTAGGGGTAACAACGCATCTGCATTTGATTCTTAATTGAGGATAAGTGTAGATGTCTATGGGACACAGCATCCACTTACCATCAGGTGGAGTGTATGCTTGCTTGAAACCCTCAAAGGAAAGTAACAAACTATATCCTCCTTACAGCTAGACAGCTTGACTCTTCTCATTGCAGAGAGGGTTTTAAAGGTTGGCGGATGTCGCATGCCTTTGAAATATTTTTATGTTTCAGGCAGATTGCAGATTGTACGTATCAATGTCATGCAGATTTCTCGGTGCCGGCAGTGATCGAACGGGGGTTGCTGGCATACTGTACAATTTACGACGAGCTTTTAGCTTCTAAGATACCACAGTTATATCGAAATTAAAAAGTATCACCATTCTTAAACTAACTTTTAAAATGTTTGACTGCGCAGAACATATAGCCCTACACATGTATATGTTAATGTGGAGACACTCGTTTGTCCTCTCCTCCTCTTTCCCTACGTAATGTGACGAAAGATAGAAAAGAATGCAGTGCCAGAGCGAGTGAAATAAAGCGATCATTTTAAGACTATTTAACTTGTAATGATTTCGCTTTCTAAAAACATTATCCAAGCTTTTGAGATAAAATATAGCCTTGATCACACCTGACAATGTTTTCTAACTATTCGTGGAGTTTCAACACAAACGGTTTTTTGGAATGGCTGAGCCGACTGTGATGAGAGTTCACGAACAATTTAACCCGGACAAACAAACTGTAAGAAGATTTAAAAATAAATATTTATGTTATAACGGCATGCAAATAATCCTCTAAACTTAATAAGAGGCAGCTATTTCGATATTACAAACATACTATATATATAGACATATTTTGATTTTATTTATACTCATATGTATAAAAAACATACATATATTTTTAAAAATTAGCATAGTTTATTTCGGTAACGTTCGTTGTGTGTACTATTAAAAAGCTTACAGTATTTAAGGTCTTGCAGTAGCTTGCTGAGTTTTACATTTAATTATATTAATTACAATTTCCTAGAACAGCATAAAAATACCTGGGGCTATTTCTCCTTCAAAATTAAACAAATCTTTTAATAAATGATATTTCTATTAATTTTAATCAAGTTGTGAGTTCAGTGAAGAAGTCTGTCTATATAGTTACCGCCATTCTACCCATTTCTGATGAGAAAGGGCCGTGGTAGCTCAGATGGTTAACGCTCGCTGTAAATATAAAAGAACGCGAGTAACGCGAATTCGATCCCCGCCGGCACCAATGAAATTATTAATTGCAATTTTAAGTGCTGATTTACCACGTGCTCGGCGGTGAAGGAAAACATCGTGAGGAAACCGGCATGTCTGAGGAATAAGAAAAAAAATATTTCGAAGACATGTGAAGTTCGCCAATACGCATTGGGGCAGCGCGGCGGACACTTCATTGCCCTAAAACCCTTTCAGAAATGAGGGGAGGCCTGTGCCCAGCAGTGGAACGTATATAGACTGTAACTTTACTGATGAGAAAGAGCAATGCCTGATGCTCATCTTACT